TTACGAAATCCGTAGCTTATGAAAATTTGATGAAATACATGATTTATTGTTAAGAAATACACACTTATCATTACGAAAGCAAATCTGTCAAAACCAATCTGCAAGTTGGCATTTTATAATATTTAAGAATACGATTTGAATACGAATTTTTTTGAGAAAACATCGAATGTTGTTGTTGCTTTCGCTCCTCGAGTCTGCAATCTGTTCACTTTAATGTCACTTTAATCATGTGTAAGATGATGCAGTGGTAGCACGGTATAGCGACGGATATTAGTGTTTTCCGGTCGATATATAACGAAATGGACTCAACAACTCCCAGGTTTTTCCGGCGTAAGAGTACAAGACGATGGCTGTATAAAGTTGCCTAGTACGAGCATCGTCGTAGTGAATCATGAAAGAGACGCTGACTGAAAAATCTTTTATCGCGACGGCGCTTGAGGCTATGACACTTTCACTATGCAAACTTTATACGTTCGTTCTTCTAGTTTTATTACAAAAATATAACTCTAGTAACTACGCTAGCAATTGTAAAAATGTGACCCAAGCGCATAGTACCTATCCACGTATCTCATTTTTGTTGTTTATTATGAATTTACTCTTAAAGTCACAACTCAGTAATTTGGTAACATCCATCACAGTAGTGACTAGTGACAATCAACTGTCTGGAATACAGTGGTTTTCTCCACAGACTTCTTTGGAGAAAATTTCTTTTTCATATTTACTCCAGGTCCCCAAAATTAAAAACCAGACAAAAGAAAACAACACTTTGTTATTTGGAACAAAAGTATTCAATGTGTCTTTGATGCGACCTCGCAACCTTATTTTGAGTTAAAGACATATTATTAATATTACAAATTTTATAAGTATTATAAATACTTTTAATATATAAATTTTGTAAATAATTGTAAAACAGTGTTAAAAAAATTATAAATCAATGCGTTGTTGTGTTGTAATTTTGAATATGGTTATTGCAATATACATAAAATGCGTTGCGTATGCAGGAGTGTATATACCTGCGCTCTAATAATGCGCCTTACAATCCAAAATGTAAGACTTAATGAAAGAGCTAACGGAACTTTCCATGAAACTGTCTTTTTTCATGTGAAATATGCAGGTCTGTGTAACCCTCGACCATTTTTCGCTGACAAGGAATACTTTCTAGTAAGTACTTGCTGGCGCTGCTATAATGTAAAAGCCCGACAGTCAACTTTGCGTAGCTTTATTTTCAGTCGACCATTTCCTAAAACTAGATGCACATGGATTTTAACACTATTATAGTTAAATAAAAAAATAGTTCAAATAAATTTCTGTTCTATTATCGCAATATCCGGAACCAATTCAAACTCAAACTCAAATAATCATTATTTCATAAGCAAGCAAGTTACGCATGAAATCATCATGTTGATTAAACTCTATTGCTCATTTGTAAGGCATATTCCACTTAGAGGAATGAGCAAGAAACTCTACGGGTGCTCTTTGTAAATATACATTTTTACACATGTGCCATATACAATTCTACTTCAAACATCATAGGTCGAGCTACCTGCAAGAGCTAAAGGGGTCACTAACACAGATTTTTGTCATCCATACCATGCCTCTTGCTTCATATCAACAATTAATAAAAAAGTAAATGGAAAGTTCTCAAAAATATGACTCACAAATTATTTACTGCATTTGAAACAAAACTGTACACATTATATTTTTCTAATTACACATGAAACTGGATATTTCTTTATTGTATACAAATTAATCAATGACAGGATGAAATGGAGTCACGAAACTCTGCAGTGAATAATTGTAATATTTTTCATTTAGAAAATAAATAAAACCGACCTCAAAAGTTTGCTTATCGGCTATTTTCGATTTCTATGGGACCGCCTCATCAGATACTGATTTCTTGGTGACAATGGGACTTTACGGACTCCTTTGTACATTTTATACTTTTTTCTGGTTGTCATGGTGACGGTGATTTGTTGATTACATGTATTGTGTCAAGTGAAAAATCGACTTTCATTTGCGGAAAATATTTTTTCAATTTGTGATAGCCAAAACGATCCCAGAACATCGTCAGCATCAGAGACCACCACGAAAGTGGCACCCTTTGAACCAAAAAATAATTTTCAAAATCGGTCCACAATTGACGGAGAAATCGGAAAACGTACATAAAACATACAAACAGCCGAATTTAATATAATAAACTCTTCCTTATTTTCAAGTCGGTTAAAAACGATTGAAAACAATATGAAATCATAATAAAGAAGTAGCACAATATATTATGTTCGTAGACGTAATACTTGAGCCGGGACCATTTGAAGCGGTACTTAAAGTGTACAAGCAACGCAACGGTTGTAAAGAAATTGATTCATGAGTAGCAAAGGCAATACGTTAGACAGTTACAGCTCGTTCATGCGTACATTTCAATTGCTCAATTGTCGGAAATCGTTCAAATACATCTACTAAATCATACTCCACTACTTGACTTTATATTCTTTATTACTGATATGATGAACCCTAATGGAAAGTGTATTAATGTACTGATATCCGTTTATTGAATTATTGTCAAGCAGTGCACATAACTACTCGTCTCTCTTGAAAACGGAATATCAAATTCTAAATGTTTCCAACACCAATTCAGAACTTCAGAACTTAAAACCCAGAGACGTACATAGTAAGCGACACGCAAACAACGTGCATTTGTAGATTTTAAGTTCTGCAGTTAATTAATGTGATTTGACTCTTCACTCTTTCCACTAATTTCTAATTAAGACTATTAGAAAGCAGGTGAAAGAATAAATATGAAAACAAGTCAATTATATGGCGTCCAAAATTAATTAAATATACGAGTATTATGCAACATTCCAGGTTGGACAAAACTGGAAAGAAAGCTATCTATGCTCCATGATTTTGACTTCTACAAATATAACTGACATTGACTACTAATTAAATAAATAATTCACTTTTTAAGAAAATGTTTGTTTGTCAATGCTCTTTAATGCCTTTCATGCTTTAGCCTATTCTCTTTATCATAATAGTAATACAGATAAAAATACAACACCGGTAATGTAAAAAAGAAGCATAACGTATTTTGGACGCAATGTAAAAACAAAATCTTTGTGTTATCTATTTCTAAAATAAACTGACTTCAACCCATTAGTTCTTAATTAAGCGTTGTTCCTTTGTGTTCGGAGATCTTAATTGAGAAATGTAATTGAAGATTAGGAAGAGTTATTTTAAAAATATTTGAAGACAAATGGTTTTTTCAATTCACGCGTAAATTAGAAGCAAGAAAACGGTGGGAGTTTGAAAACGATTTGTACCTTTTTGTTCCGCAGAAAAATCAATCATAAACCAGAATGTACAATCATCATACGAGTGGAGTAAATGTGCCACAGCATTTCAAATCGTTACATTAAGTCTGTAAAGAAATGGTCCGTTTTGACACATCCTCTGTAACTTATATTTACTAGTAAACTCAGAGTATTAGGAAAACGATAATATCGTCACGAATCTGAGAATCCAGGCAGGAAAGACGGGGATTAAATATAATGCCATCAGATTATTTCCAAAGGGAATGTAGTCGGCTATTGCAGCCTTTAATCGAATATCCAATTGTGTTTTGTTTCTGAAGGCAATCCCCAATTAATCAAATTTTGTAGATAATTTTGTTCAAAATAATTTGTAACGAAGTAAGTTTAATATTAATAATTTATTACAAGTTTTTAAGAAAGAAAATTTTAATTTTTGCCATCTGTCATGTTTGTAGAATACTTACCCAGAAACACTTCTTAAGTTTGTCTCACTTTTCACGGTAATGCATTTTGAGATAATTCTCGTTAAATAATTTAATAACGCGCTGTTTTTAATGGAAAGTGAAGTACCATCAAGCAAACGCCGACTCAGCTATTTAACCTAATTCGAGAGTATTTGGAGCATCTAGCGTGTACAGCAAGAATCTTGTGTATCACGGAGGCCCACATTTTATACGCCATTTTTAAACGTAGATATAAGTTGCCATCTCTTAAATTTTTGTATGTAGAAATGTATTCTGTACCAGTATTTCTGTCAAAATAATTTGTCCGATAACATGAACGTTTAAGTGACAATATATAATCTTCTGATTTTTACTCAATTTACCATTAACCTCTGTCATTTAATGTATTATTTGACATAAATATTTTCTCATTCACTACGGGAATTAAATGTTTGCCACAAATGTTATATTATCTATTATAAGATCAATTTATATAAGTAAATAAAATATACGGTAAATTCTGTTACGCTGTGAAGTTCTTCCCTTTAATTATCATCTTTTTCTCTCGAAATTATGTATGGTATTTAAATAATTAGTTTAAAGTTTACCGTAACTGTTTACATACCAGGTCAATATTCGAGATGACGTTTTACCAATAACAGTGCTTCTCAAGAGCAAGTTTATTTTATATATGTATATATATATGTTTTCTTGAAACCGATACCATCTCGAAATTTGGCTTAATAAACTAGTACCATATGACAATATTATTACATTGATGCTTAATTATTAACAACCATCACAAACACGTCACATCTATAGGTACACAAACTAATCATGCAGAAGGGGGTTGCGAACGTGCGTAGCGTGTGTGGTCTGTACAGCTGGGGCCTAATTGACAAAAGCCATGTGATGCCGTTTTTACCCTCTTTATGATACAATGCTTCTTAGCAATAAAAACCAATTCCTAGAAGCACCAGCCCATTTTAAAAGTTAACATAATAAATTTGAACGCCAAATCATTTCATGTTGGTCAAAATGACCCCAGCGCGTACTATCAGACATATTCAACACGATAAGTACCGCTGAATGAGGCGGTGTGGAGCAGTCGATGTGGCCCGGCGCCGTTCGCAGCCCCTGGCACTCAGGGTCGGAGACAATCGCATGCGAAGCGGGAGGGGCGACGGTGGGGCAACATGAACGGGGCTCACTGAGAGGATGGTGCGGCGGCACGGAGAACGTGTAGTACTTGGCCGTTTGGTTGTGTGTGCGGGACACTGAGCTGTGGGTCAGTGTCACCACCACCACGAGGACCGACGCTAGAGCGAGCGCGAAGAAGGAAGCGGCTACGGCAGCAACCACGCGCTTTCTCCTAGCTTCCTTGCTGGCGTCCTCGGGCAGCACTTCGGGCTCGGGGTGCGGTAGCGGCTGCGGCTCTGGCGAACGGCTGCGGACGCTAGGCCCGCGACTGTCCGGCAGCTCAAGCGTGTGCCGCCGCGAGCGGCGCGCGCGCTCACATTCTGCCGCCGACGAGTGGTGCCGGCGCAGGCGATGTGGCGGGCCGGGCGTCACTCGACAAGACGCTGAACGCAATGTGCGCACTGGCACCATCAAATCATCGCTGGCGGCTCGCGGTACGCGCATCGAATGCACCGACCGAAAAGAATGATCTCGTGTAGAGCTGCTCGGAAAAGCGAGATCGACTGAAGCGCGAGAGGAATGCCTGGAAAAACGTTCGCGGTCGCGCTCGCGATCGCGGTGATCTACACGCACCGACATGGTGCGAGCAGAGCGCGCGGCGGCAGCCGCCCGAGTGACGGACGCGGCCGCCCGCCCCGCCGCGCTCTGCCGCCCGCCTCTGTTTACACTTGTTCTTGGTTGCACAAAGAACGCACACAAATACCATCACGAAGGTAAAGTCAATGTGACGTCTCAAATCTTCTGGAATAGATGTCGTTGGTTTCCGTGTTTACCCGATTAAAGATATTTAACTTTGCTTTTCACGTCTACCTTGGAGTTCAGTGTTTGCACAATTCTAACACTGAAGTAGCTTTTCAAAAGAAAAAGGAACGGAAATTTCAAATTCGGATTTTTCAAATTTTAAATTTACATTTCTGTTTAACACTCAAATGTGTCTGTTTTACCCTACCCACCCTAATCACATTGACATGTACGGTGACACTTTCAAATAAATACTATAAAATTTCGCAAAGTTACACTTAAAAGTATGAATAATTAACTTAAATTGTGAATGTTAGCATTGCAATAAATATGGTACGGGAAAATGTACCTCATGTATACTCGTACCCTTTTTAATATCTGGGCTCGCATTGGAGGCCCGACCGTGTGCGCTAAATAGAGCGAACAGGCTTTGTTGCGGAGTCCATGTTGTCAAGTTAAATTGTCTCGGAGGCGGGAAACGAAACAGATAGTAGAGAAGTTGTCGTCGCGCGGCACATCGACACTATTCAATACACCCCATACAGACGCCTCACAGACTAAGCGTGAATACACTGGTGTGAAACACAACCTTCACCACGCCTTCATAAGATTCCAAGTCGATGGAAATGGTAAAAGTTTCGTTGGCATACCATTATGCTATATTGGTTTCATTAAAAAACTTCTCTAGTAGCAGATGTGCCATGAAGGAGCCTGTTTAAAATAACTTAAAATATAGCCTGTTCCTTAGAAAGAGTTCGTTATAGTTGCATTCAAATATTATAAATAGGTATTTGCGTAATAATCGTTTTTGAATGGAATAACTACGAAGTGGTTTGATGATAGGCACACTCGTACAGTAGTAAACACAAGTTAGACTGCCGCTGTCTAGCGCCGATTGAAACGCAGGTGATGAACAATGGAGCGCGTACAATGGCTTGCTATCGGACAAGATGCGGATGCTTCACTCCGAACCTTTGACAAGTGAAGAAAACACTTTTCACTTTTTTAAGATTTTTTACTTCGGTTACTTAATATAAACTAAGCTATATGTATAATACACAAAATGGATTAGTTCTGTAGATAAATTAATTGTATATGACTTTTCACTTAAAATTGAATAATTCATGGCTGTTGACGAAGATATTGGCTTGTGTTCTTTATGTAAGCGCTTGTTGTTGACACATACTGTTCATATTCCTTTTTGTTTAGTACTCGTGTTTGATTTGGTTATTCCACAAATCTCTACTAAGAAATCCCCACTTGTAATTGGCTGTATGTTGTTATTTCTGTTTTTATGTTGTTGGTTATCTATGAATAAATAAATAAAATTAGTTATTCCCCGAAGTACTGATGAGTGTTGATAGGCGACAGATGTGTATCAGGATCGTAATAAGTGGAAAGTTGTCGTATCTGCCTATCTCGATGAGAAAAGGGTGTGAAGTATAGATATATATAAATATACGCGCATTGAAATACAGGCATTATTTTAATTTGTATCAACAACGAAAGTATACTCTATTCGTGGTTTAATAACTTTCAGTTTTGCCCAAAATGAAAGTAACAACGAGGTAGAAGCATAAAAATGATAAAGAAATAATAAGCCATTCTGCCAAATACGTTCCGAATAATATAGTTTTATATTAAAGTGCTAACAATCATTATTGAAATTATTATTGGTTATATCATTGATTATGTTGAAAAAAAAAACAATTGTACAAATTAAATATGTACCTACAGTAACAGTCTTCTTTAAAATAAAACCTTTATAAAAGCACCGATGTCTAGGAATTAAAGTTTTTATTTACGTATAGTTTATATATTACGTATATTTTATTTACGTATAGTGTAAGCCTTCTCATGTTAATGCCTTTTAATATGTAAAACTATTTTAGGTTGATAATCATGTTGCACGTTGAAATCAACCGTCACTAAATAAAACCTTCGCTTTTTTAAATCGTATTTAAGTAGTAGCAGTAGAGCCTTGTGTAAGAACGCGTCCAGTGTAGTACGTTGTGTAACAATCGCAAAAACCCGAGAACTTAAATTAGATATATTTAAATCGTTGTATGAGGTTGCAGCAAGTATTATAGTTTGCATCGAGCTACTCGTAATATTGTCCTTGTGCAAGAGTTCGTCCAGGAAAGTACTTCCACCATACCTATTTCTGTCGCCAAGCAATGTGGGTATTACTGGTTCCGGTTTTGAAGGGTAAAAGTGGTGATGAAATTACGGGTACGTGAGACTTATCAACTTATGTCTCAGATTAATAATAATAATAATAACGCACACACTCAACATAGCCCCGCACTAGGGAAACCCTGTGTCGCGGGTACCATGGACACACACAGACAACCACAAATTACACCCAAACTCACGAGAGAAATAAATGTAGGCTATAGAAATATTTCTCCCGGCCCGGGAATCGAACCTGGGACCTCTGCGTGGCAGTCCGGCATGGTAACCGTTCGGCCACAGAGGCAGTTAATTAGATAAGTAAGTTAGTTAGATTAACATGCGCATTAGTAGTGCCCTTCAGATCTGTGCGACTTGAAACTCTGAGTGGCTCTGCAACTGTTATGAGCATGTGTAGCTTACCACCAGGCACACGACTTGCTTGTCCTGTCACTTGATATTATAAAAAAAGTCTCTGAGACACACAGTGACAGTTTCCTTCAGATCTTCGAGATTAAACCTCTCAGTGGGTCTGGAACTGGTAAGGACAGCCGTGATACTTAACACCAGGCACATGACTTGTTCGTCCCGTCCCTTGGCATCATAAAAAAATTCATCATCTACATTTCATACAATTTTATGACCACTTCCCAAGAGGTAACTTTACCGTTTAGCGACGTTATCGATTTCAACGTGCTATGTTGCCAAGAACAATAAATTAAAAATTATCTATAAAGGTGTTTAAATAAAACAAATGTTTCTCTTTGTTTCGCTGTTTTCAGGACGCTTGAGTTGATGAATATAATGGATAGAAACATTCTAAAGTTCCCTGTAGGCTTCTCGAGTTGTAGGTAATCGACAACTATTTGGCTTGATTCATATAGGTACTTAGTGCATAAAAATGAAGATAATGAAGTCACCATAATTTGTATTGAACTAGTAAACATTGTCTTGTACATATTTTTAACCGACTTTAAAAAAGGTTTAGTTTCTCAATTCAACCGATTGTTTCGATGATTCGTTTTTAGTTAGAAAGGGAATACTTTAGTGGTCGTCCCATTCAAATCTGAAGAAAATATTCCACCTCTAAGGGTGGCAAATTAGGGGATGAAAACGGTATATTGGATTTCACCCACTTTCCTTTAACCAATTTCAATAAAATTCGACAAAATGTAATTCCACAAACTTTTGAAATGTTTTTTTTTTTCATAAAGAAGTTATTATGTTAATAAAACTGTTTTTTTTTAACTCGTGAGTTTATAGATATAGTATTTTGTAATTCTATACATTTTACATACCGACGAGTATAACTTTGTACACAATTTAAAAATAAATCAAATATATTTTCTAGGAAAAAGGTAAGTATAAACTACGCACGACTAAACCAAACAAATCTGTGTTAAGCTCTTTTAACTCTTCAGGCTTAAACAATAAAACACTATAATTACCTAAATTAACATCTATAATGTTGTTTCATAAAAATCTTATCGCTTCCATAAAAGTATTTCGCACGTTTTATTTCATTTTATATATCTTATTTTTTTATTTTCTCATGCAATAAACACACAAACATTTTGTGTATTTTTTGTAATAACCTATAACAAAAAAACACAATACTTTAAAAATTAAAATTTTTGGTGTACGACGCTTGTCAGATTGTCACTTATCGTCTTTACACTCCAAGTTCTTTGAAGTTGCTGTGCAAAATTTATTTCTAGAAAGATAAGAAAGTAAAGTTTTTCTCACAATTTCTAGAAAACTTTTGCGTCAAAATTTCATTTATTGCGTAAAAATATAGGTTAATTATTTTCCATCGTTTTTAAATCCATGAGGTGCAGAGTTGTTGCAGTTTTTACTATTTTTATTTTTCTTGTAGAATACGTGGTTTTTTTTTTCGAAAACAAATTGTATTATACACGTCATATTCGTTCAAAGACGTGGCCCGATTCCTTATAATCATGTCTTTCTGTTGTTTTCACTTCTTAATTAATATGTTTTCATCAATTTCGGGGTAAAAGGAAAATAAGAATATACATAACACTATTAGAAAAAAGTTTTGCTTACTCGTTCATTGAATATGATCTGTACCTTTAGTTCACAATGAAATGTTTACGTTTTATCAAAACAACAACAGACCTTTTGCTCGCATCATTCCTGTTTCTATCATAGAATTGATTAGAAAGCAGCAAATAACGAAGGTGAATTATATCCGTCGCAATTTAGCACTGGAATGGGTCCGGTGTCGGCCCTTTACGTTTTTCTACAACCGTTCTTGACACTACGACACTTATTGAGTTAGTTCGGCATGAATAATGTATGCGACCATTTCAGTTGGCCATAAAAAATCTGTAACATTTCAGGCTTCTTTATTGCTTGTAGACTAGCTTCTTTATAAGTAACGAGTTTGACAAAAAAAAGTTTGTTACTGTATTCAAGTTAAAAGAGCAGATTTCGAGCAAGTACTGTAGGTACAGGTAATTGTAGCATATTTATCCACGCGTAGATGATATTTTATCTACGCGTGGATATATCTTTTATATGTCATTACATAAGATTACCACAGAAATTCTTTGAATTTGTAATTTATTCGTTACGGCACGTCATCTCTACAAATGCTCTGCCGAAAGTAAATAACT